GGAGGAAGGACAGAGTCCAGGGCTCGGTTGTGCAACTGGCCCAGGGAGTCCTTCCCTGAGGCTTTGTGTGAAAGGGTGGAAGGAGTGAGGAGTGGGGGGCACTGGGCCCTTTAGTTCCAGCCTCCCATGCAGTCAGCACTTTCCCGCGCAAGGTCCTGGCTGGCGCTCTGTACAGACACAGCTGGGGGACACACCGGGCTGGCTCGGGCCACAGCGATGAAAGGAATATTTATCATAAAAAAGCAAATTACAAAATGTTTTGACTTCCAAGTTTCTATAAAATTTACTGAGCGTTTTTATCATAAGTAGTTTCTTTATCTTGTCAAGTCTTTTTTCAGCTTCTATGGATAGGATCATGTGGTTGTTTAATTTCTTTTCACTTTTTAATGACTGACATTGATTCACTTGAGTATGTTGAAGCTCCCTAACTCCTTTAGCTGAACCTCACTTGGTCTTGAAATATGATTTTCTTAGGTAATTTATTGGCCAAGATTTTGTTGAGAACTTTGCATCCTTGTTCGTTAGGAGGATCGACCTGTTATTTGTTTTGTGTACAGCTCTAGTCGCTTTGGGGTCAGGATAATGCTGGCATTGTAAATTGTGTCTGACAGCTTGCTCCCCTGTTCAATTGCGTTGAAGAGTTTGAAAAAAAAAAAAAAACAGGTATTATTTCTCCTCTGAAAGTTTTGTAGAGTTCATTATTGTAGCAACATGGTCTGGGCTTTTGTTAATAGTAGATGTTGGGAGGCCTCCCTAGTGGCTGAGGGGTTAAGCCTCAGTGCTATCACTCCTATGTGTGGCCTGAGTTTGATCCCCAGCCCTGGAGGTGACCCACAGGGTGCAGCAGACCTCTCCTGTCTCCCCACTGCTCCCCTCAGCAGTGTAAGTAGATCTGCCCGCTCTGCTCTCTGCTCTGTTTCTGGTGACTCCTCTCAACCCCCCAACCTCTAATTCTTCCACACAAAAATAAGCAACTCTTTTGACTATGTCGTAGAAGTTTGGTTACCTTTTCCACATCGGAGCTGGTGACTAGTCTCGAAGGCTGTCCATTTCCTCGTGGCTCCCTCTTGAGAGCTTCCAAGATTCTAAAAGTGCCTCCATTTCTCCCTAGGTTGTCCAACTTGTTTGAATCTAGATGTTCATGGTGGTCTCTTAGGATCCTTCGAATTTCTGTGGTATCTAACTTGAGTTTTCATGTCTGATTGTCTCTAATAGGGTTTTGTCTTTTTCCTAGTGAGTTTAGCTGAGACCATGGACAACAGCTGACCGGCAGACCTGTAGAAGGTCATCTCACAAAATTCCCCATGGGTGCCATTGTTCAGATGGCCCCGAGGCTTTTCCATTGTCCATTACCTGCTCAGGAAGGGGGCCTCCCGCTCTGGACCATGCTCCACGGTCCTGACCAAGCGAAACCAACAAAACCCTATAAGTCAGGAGTTCCATAGTTGGTTTGAAGGCCGACTTTGCTGTGGAACAATGTGTCTCAGGACCTCGGTTTTCCCATTTAATGTGATCAGTCAGTACATGATAATCTCCAAGGGCTCAATCTGTTCTCAGCTGTGAACAGTGGTTGGCTATTGATCAAGAAAAGTGATCAGCCCGGAGCTGATAAACACTGGGGCATGGTTTTTGCCTCTTAGAACCACGCCTGCTTAACCTGGAGGGTGGCACAGATGGCCAACTGGAAGAATCTCCTGTCCCTTGTTCTAGGTGGGGCCGCAGAACAGCTTTGCATTTTTCTTAACATTAGCAGTGCCAGCTTTAATCTGCCTCCCGGACAGCCATTCACCCTCAGAGAAGGACGAGGACTCGAAGCTCAGAGAGGAGAGCAGGGTCTGTGAACGCTGGTCCCAGCCGGTGAGGTAGGTGGAGCAGGAGGACACTCCCACTCTTATGGACATTGGTATCTGTCATCCCCACCAAGCCACTGAATTTAAGTGACATTTTTATAGAGTGCCGAGAAACCAACAGGTACACTACCTCCGATGCCTCCCTGGAGGTTCTCTGTGGTTACATATGCCCATAAAACGGAATCAAGCTCTATGCTCGTTTGGAGTCTCTCTTAGTGCAAGGAAACTCCGTGTGCTCTGGTCGTCTATTTCATGGATGGTATTCCTGAGGTTTGAGAGTGCTGGAACATTCTCCAAGTAATTAGGAGTAGCAGTTAGGTCTGAGTGATAGATAGCAGATTATATGCTACTTTTCAAGTTCAGAAGGGGGTCCAAGAAGTCCTGGGTCATCGAAACATACAAGTCTGGAAATCTGAATGAAAACCCTCACTTCCCTGCCTGAGCACCCCGGTGGGCAAAGCCTCGGAGTCAGCAGACATGGCGCCAGGGACTACTCATCCACTACTTCCATTCCAGAATGAGTCCACTTCTATAAGCAATATCTTGATCTGAAACAGTAACAGGTCAGCAATTCCGAGCAGTTCCAATTTCCAGGGGAATAAGGATCCCACGCCAGTTGGTGTCAGAAATTTTCATTCGAAGTTGTTTGATCAAACAGGCAGTTCCATTGAGTAGTATGGTCACTAGCTGTGGACAGTGGACCACAGCTGAAGGCCTGGAGTGCTGAGCGAGCCTGGGAAAGGTGTTTCTTCCAGTGTCTGTACACCTGGAAAAAATCAAAATGGGGGGAAAGTACTTTTACCCATAGTCTTTTTTTTTTTAAGATTTATTTATTTATGCATACAGAACTGGGCTACAGGTCAGAGGTGTGGGGGCAGTGATTGGATTTACTAGAGATAGAGTGGGGAGCAGAACAGGCAGACTGATGAAGTACACTGCTGAGGGGAGCAGCGGGCGGGTCAGGAGAGGTCTGCTGTGCCCTGTGGGTCACCTCCGGGGTGGGGATTGAACTCGTGCTAAAGTGGCTTTAGCTTCTTAGTGCTGTGCTTTAACCTGCTGCGCCACCAGGGAGGGCCTCCCCATAGTCTTTTAGTTAGCTGATGATACAGAATCCTAGTTGGCTGTGGGATTAGAGCTTTAACGTCCTTGCTCTAAGACCTCCCCGCTAGTGTGGGGGCTAACGTCAGCATTATTAAGCTATAGCCAGCCACTGCAGCATGAGTTCAACCCCTGGCCAGGTTGCTGCCCCGGCACAGCAGACCTCTCCTTTCTCACACACTGCTCCCCTCAGCAGTGTATTTCAGTCAGTCAGCCTGTTCTGCTCCCCTCTCTGTCTCTGGTGCATCCTCTCTCCCCCAACACCTCCCACACCTGTACACCAGTTCTTGTTTGTAAAAATAAATCTTTAACAAATAAAATTCTCACTCTAGCAGCAAAATGATAATTACCGTAGTGAAGAGATTGTCAACGCACTTGGTTGGCAAACATTTTGCAACACGTGTGTCAAGTCATCACATCACACCTTAAGCATACGTATAAAGGTGATATATCCACTTATCTCTGGGAGGTTTGGAGAAAAGAGTTTAATCCAAGACATAGACTTGCCATCTTCACCATGTAGGATCTTCACACTCAGGTGGATCCTCATTTCACTCAGTCCATTTTATCAGCCACGTGAACAGTGGCTGACTCCTTTTTTCAAGCCCCGTCTGTCTGCAGTTAAGCTCACTTATGGAATGGTACCATTTCATGAGGTCATAAATGGGAATTTTTTTCAGTTCCATTTTCTGAAAAGAGCTTACAGTGTGACCCCCGTGGCTATTAAGACTCTCGTGTCTTCCATCTTTTAACAAATTAAAGGCATGTGAATGCCACCACCTGAGCTGGCTTGTGTGAGAAACAAGACAACATACATAGTCTCTCAGGGAAGACCGCGACCGAGGGAAACCACACACAGCTTCCAGCCGGCTGTGAGTGCCAGGAGCTCAGGCACTCTCTCGCCTGTCCTTCAAGGCCCTTGATCCTTTAAAGCTCCAGCCCAGTCCAGCCAGGGAGCCCTGATTGTGGGCCCCTCGAAGGGGAAAAAGAGTCATAGAGCCCCACCCGGTCCCCGTCACCCTCTGCTCCCCCAGCACAGAAAGCGGAGTTTTCCCAATGCCAGAGCATCAGCGTAAGCCTGTACTTCCAAAGTCTCATTGTCCGACACCCTCAAGTTTCGGCAGCCAGTGAAGGCTCAGTCGGAAAGAGGCCCGCCCTTGGGGGGCGGTGGCGCGGGCCCAGGGCTCTGGTCACCCTCTCTTGAGCCTGCACTGCCCCTGGGGCAGCATCCTCCCTGGCTCTTCCTCCACAGAGCCGCAGGGCCGGGCAGCACAGCCACAGCCATCAGCCGGGCTGCACACATGTCCTCTGTTGTCTTTACTCCCGAGTTGCCCTGACTCTGACTTGTGTGTCTCCGAGATCACTATTCGTCCTGCCCACCCACACTAAAGCATCAAGGATTCTTTAGGAGCACATCTTCAAATAGAAGTTTGGCAGAAACTGTAACATCACCCAGCGGGTTTTGTTGGTTGAGAGCGGGTGAAACACTTTGCGGGGAGAGATTTCCTGCGATTGTCTCTCTGGCTTTCTGGCAGGGTATGAACGCACAGGAAACATTCGAGGAAAGGAAGGCGGGAGCTATGGTTCAGTCTCAAGGCTTGGGGTGTCATGCTGGGGAGACTGACAACAGCCAGGTCAGGGCTGGGGGACGGTTAGAAAAGACAGAAACTGCCTGCAAGGTATGTACCACCCCCTCAAATCCATCATCAAACTCCATCCAGGGAAAATGCAAATTTCTAGACTCCATTTCCAGGGGGCTGGTCACTGGGGTCTAATATTAAATGCTAGGAATGGGGGCCTTGCTCCTGGACCTGCTTCCTTCACACACCAGAAACAGTTCTCAGGGGTCCCTCTTCCCTCCCCACTGGGGAGACAAAGGCCACCCCAACACCCTCTCTTGGAGCTTCCAGAATCCCAAGTCAGAGGACAGAAACATGTGAAGCACAAGTGGTTTTTATTGAAAAGTGGACGAGAGAGGCAGCCCAGGGCTGGGCATGGGGGTGGACCAAGAACCGGGAGAGGCAATGACACAGGGCCTGGACCTGGGAGAGCTCACAGGTGCGGCCAGGACAGGTGGACCTGGTGGGAGGGACGAGAAACGGAGACAAGAGTCAGCAGGTGGAAGCCTTGCTGCGTGTGCCACTCGTGAGACCCCAGGAAGCCTCTCAGCGCCCCCCACCTCCTCTCTCCTGCCAACCCACTCGCACCGCCCTGTCCCAGGGCCACCCCTGCCCGGCCGGCTCTCACCTCACTGCGGGTCCAGACAGGCCATCCCACAGGAGCCCTCGCAGCACTTCTTGGCCCCAGGGCACTCAGTGTCACTTTGGCATTTGGCAGGGGGGTTGAACATGGCGCAGCGGATCATAACTGTGGGGCAGGTGCCAGGCTTCACGGAGGCGGGACCTTGACCTCTGACTGGATCTTGACCTTTGACTGGACCTTGGCTTCTGACTGGATCTTGACCTTTGACTGGACCTTCCCCTCTGACTGGATCTTGACCTTTGACTGGACCTTTGCTTCTGACTGGATCTTGACCTTTGACTGGACCTGGACCTCTGACTGGACCTTGACCTTTGACTATATCCTTACCTTTAACTGAATCTTGAACTCTGACTGGAATATGAACTTTGCCTGAGGAAAGAAGAAACAAACGCACATTTAGATGAACTTTCCCTGTTTCAATGATCAAGTGTTTCCTGTGGGAAACCACGATGGACGCGGGAAGATCACCAGGGAGAGCTGGGAGCCTGGCTGATCCCCGAAGTTGAGAAGAAAACATTTTCAGCTCTGAGGAATCTTAGTGATGGGGAAGGGGGCCCTGAACCATTGTCCAGAGACCTGTGTCTGGAGATTGTCCTGACAACCCCACTGCTCTCTAGATCTCAGTCTCCCTGGTAAGACTGGGGTCCTCGAACACGGCAATGCTCTGTTGGTGTTTCCCCTCCTCTCTGAGCACTGATGACCCAGGGGCTTCTCTGGGGTCCAGATTCCTGGGACTCCCCACTTCATTTCATGTTCCACACATACGTCCACCCGAGGCCACAGTTCTGACACCTCAGTCCTGGGTACAAAGCAGGGGGAGCCGGGGGCCCACTTCCTGCGTCCCCTGCAGAGTGTGGGAGCTTCTGGCACAGTCTGGAGTGTGGGCTCCATCGCTGCCTGCTGCCTCCCTGTCGGCATCAGGTGTCTCACCCAGCCCAGCCCGACCCGGCCACTTGCGCACTCACCAGCCATGACGGCCGCCTGTGTGGCCAGCATCCCGAGAATGAGGAAGACCGCCAGGGCCAGGAAGCTGCTGAACCTCATGTTGTCAGAGGGTATGTGGTGGAGAGCGACAGCCTATTCCGGTTTTATACAGCCCGGCTTGGCCTGGCACCAGGGGGCGGGTCTGTGGTTTCACAAGGGACAAAAGCAACATTTCCTTAGCTCTACCAGGAAACATCCACCCCATCATGGGAGGGACCTCGGGGCTTTCCCCAGGGATCATTCGCAGGAGAAATGACAAGTGCCACATCACACGAGCTGTCCTACTTTCTCACGTTCAGCAGGGCACTGGTCTTGGGGAACATGGAGACCAAACTCGTCATAGTTACAGAGACTATGAAGGCCAGAGAAAGAGCCACTCGGGTTCCTCCGAGTCAGCAGTAGGTCATGTGCTGATTTCAAAACCCAGGGGCTACCCCACGATTCGCTGTTCCCATAAGCCCTACCCAGGCCTGCCCTGATAGTTTACACTTCCAAGCATCAATCTGGGCTTTTCCTTCTTTCTCCCCTGACCCCAACAAAAACTTAAAGCTAATTTGCCTTGAAATTTTAATGGCTAATCCTTGTATCACAGATATGGGCTTTGAGAGGCATTAAGAAAGGAATAGCAGAAAGGTGTGACTTGTGCTTCTGGAAGAGGTGATGCTCACGAAGCCACAGGCAGCAGAAGCAAGCGCCAGAAATCCTGTAGAAGACACACATCTACAAGGCGGTGACTTCCTCTCTCTAGCTAACGCCTTGCTGCCTCTGAAGAACACCTTGTCTTTGGACCACTAACTTAGCAGTTGAATGAGAGATGCTAATCATGAAAGCCTGACCCCCGCCCCCGCCCTCGCGAGTATGTGTGTGCATGAGAGGGCAACAGAAAGACACAGACACATTCTGTCCACGGAAAGCTCTTACTTGAGTGGACACAAAGGAAATCAGGGAAATCCCTCCTCTTGGGGAACAGGACGGTGTATACCAGCCCGGGGACACCAGACACTCATGTTCCAGCCTGGGAGGACATCAGTTGTTTGAGAAAAATTGAACCTAATAAATTGAGAGAAGCAAAGAAAAACGGCCAGAGAATCTGGAAGACACCGGCCAGCCCTTCATTGCCCTTCGGGCAGCTCCTCCCCACCCTCCCCACCGTTGGATGATAACCATACATTAGCTCCTGCCTGAGCTAGTTTGAGTGGTATTTTGTAACTGCTAACAAAAGTTCTCAGTAATAGAAATGAACACCCTGGAATTGGGTGTTGCTGGGGACAGAAACTGTCGTGTAAAATGACCGAGTGGCGGGCGGGTGAGCCGAGAGAGAGCACACTCATCACTCCAGTAAACCGGCTGACTAAACCCTGTGCTTTGTCTCAGTGCGCCCAGGCCCCATGCCCACACACACGTGAAGGGGTATGTCAGTGAGATGTCGGGATATTGGAATCTGGCGGCTACTTAACAAACTTAAGAACAACAAAAAAGGTAGACCGTACCTATGTTTTTATTTTTTTATATATTATAGTCATTTTGTGCATTTTTCCATCTCAGTTGCAATCCCCGTGGGCTTCCCATCACCAAATTAGCCATGTGCCATCACCACGTCCCTGTTTTTAAAGAATAGCCGCCTGCCAGGTAAAGGAGAACGTCTTCTGGGCATGTACCTTGTTCATGGTGGCCCCTATCTCCCTCCTTCCTACTTTCCTGGGTATTCTGCTCACCAGCCCACCCAAGTATCTTTCTTTCTTTAATTGTTGTGTCTTTTTCTTATTGTTTTGTTGGGAGAGAAAAGAACGTTCATCTCTTACTCAGCTGAGAGTCTATCTTGGTATGAACAATGGAAAGTCACCCTGGCCTCAGCTAATAAAATGGAACAGACACACCACTGCTGACCCAACCATGAGGCGCCTCAGTAGCTACTTAAATGTCTCTACATGTCTGCCAGGAGATGAGCACAAAAATACTTACAACCACACCATTTCCCACAACAAAAACCCTGGCAACAAATCCTGTTATCAACAATAAAATAATAAATATATTAGCACAACCAGATAGTACACAATTGCACTACTGTAAAGTAAATGAAATGCCTCCGCCTACATACTTTATAATATGATAATCCGCAGAAACACAAATGTCGTCACGGTGTGACTCTGACATAATGTTGAATAAAAAATGCAAATATTGAGAACCCAGACTGGGTGGCAGCTGCAAAGGTGATGAAAGCCGTTTCTCAACCTGTCCTGTAAAGGCCCGAGGCCTCTCCCTCCCCCTCCCCCTTTCCCTCCCCCTGGGCCTCCTGCTTTGCTGGTGCAGGGCCCAACCAGGGCTCCAGAGAGAGACCACCCCCTCCTAGACACCCTCCTGCAGCTGGCTCTGTGAGCCACCCAGGTCAAAAGACCCTTATTTTTGGAAGAACAATCTGGGTTCCAAAGAAAGCCAGCTGGGCCTGACCGGTGCCAGGAGGGTGTTACCTTCTGCACACCCGGGGGAAAAGGATCAAACTCACGGGGCCCAGCAGCTGCCAAGCAGCTTCCCCGCCCAGCCCGCCCTAGAGCAGGTCAAAGTGGAGGTAAAGTTCTGTCACCCAGGAGCCAGGGGACCAACAGCAGCCAGTGCGTCTTCACAATCAGGAAAAACCCTCCAGCTATGTAAGCTGTGTAGGTAAGGGTCAGGTGTGCACTCTACCCAAACTGGGCAAACTACAGCGACCGACAGCAAGCCCTGGATCTGGACAAGCTTCAGGCTCTGAAATTGCTTTCGGGGTCAGCCTCCCTTTACACCCCCCCCCATCCTGCCCCCACAGGAAAGTGCTGAGCCACCATTTTGTAAACATATGGTGCAGGCAGAGGTATGATCTAGCCATGAAGCTACAATGTGCCTGCACAGCTGAGATTCCAGACATTCCAGCCTGCCCCCCGCCCCCCCCCCCCCCCAGAGGCCTGTCACCCTCTAAGAGCCTGCACTTCTTTGGAAAACAGGGGCAGTGCTTTGGGAGTGATCTTTCTCCTTACTCCATTCAAGCAATAAACTTCTTTGCACATTCTCCAACTTGTTCTCACCAATTGGCTGAATAGGCCAAGCCACAAACCCTCTGTCACGGTCAGCTGTCCTGGCCCCAGCAGAGGGGCCCACAGAGCCAACAGCCTCCTCTTCCAGCTCCAGTCCCCTAGATGGACTCAGATCTGTGCGAGCAGAAGGTGCAGCCAGGATGGGCTGATGTTATCTGTAGCGGCGCCCATCAGCCCGAGGGCTACCAGGGCCCACAGGCCGACTGACAAGCCTACAGGCAAGTCCCAAGGAGCTGGGTTTCTGTCTTCTGGTGTTCCCCACCCAGCTAGGTTTGGTGCTTTTGTGAACAAGCTACCTGGAAGAAAAAGAAAAAAACCCAGGAAATCCCAAAATAAAACATTTAGCACCCCATGCTGGAGTGGCAAGCGAGCGAGCAGGCAGCCAGGGGAGCCTGGAGGCCGGGAGGCAGCGAGGAGCTTGCCTTTCCCGGCCTCGCCCTGGCACGCTCAGCCTCCACCTGCGCTCGTGGTCTCCCGCAGAGGGCTCCTCGCTGTGCGGCCACTGCTGCCTTCAGCCCCGCCGCTAGAGCAGGTGTGGGCATTTGCCACGCGCGTGCTCCCTGGGCCCCTGCGTGCTCCATCACAGGTGCGTGCCAGGGCCCACGCACCCGGCAAGCCGCAGTGGAGGCTGGAGAGGCCAGCGGTGGGGAGGCGGGGAGAGCCTGCCATGCCATGTTACCCTCCACGTGCTTCTCTAAGCCTCGAGACCAAGGGAAAATAAGTACGGGTTGTCCAGGCCTAAATCTCAAAAAGGGATAAGGAAAGTGTGTATATATATATATTTTTTAAAGATTTATTTATTTGCACATACTGAACTGGGGTACAGGCCAGAGGTGCAGGGGCGGTGAGAGGCTTCACCAGAGACAGAGAGGGGAGCAGAACAGGCAGATCGATGAAGTACACTGCTGAGGGGAGCAGCGGGCGGGTCAGGAGAGGTTTGCCATGCCATGTGATCACCTCAGGGGCAGGCGGGGATCAAACTCAGGCTGAAGTGGCTTTAGCTTCTTAGTGCTGTGCTTTAACCCACTGCGCCACCAGGGAGGGCCTATATATATATTTTTTAAATGATGTAATAGTTTATTTTTACATCATGTTGTGCCTTTTTCCAGTTGTAATCCCCGTGGGCTTCCCATCACCAAATCACCCGTGTACCATCGGGATAAGGAAACTGTTAACATGAAGTCCAAGATGATGGCTCCCTCTGGAAGTAAGGAAAGAAATAGTTTCGGCTAAGTGAGAGGACTCGGGCGGGTTGAAGTTAGAGGTGTGGATAATGTTCTAGCGCTTGGCTGGATTGGCGATTGTGTGTGTGTCCGTTTGTCTGATTGAAGGCCCCAGAGTAAATCATGCATGGGTTTCCCGGACTTTCTGTCACCCACATTATTGCTCTTTGGTTGTGCGCAATCTTTTGTATTACAAACTTAACCTTGTGTGGCATTTAAAAAATTTTTTTGCGTTATATTTAAGCAAGAAGATTTGCTAACATAAAGGTCTGTCAACTAAAATCAACAATTAAATGTGTTCTCCTCCCCATCTCTGGTTTCCACTGAAGGGTGCGAGCAAGAGAACCCGAGCACAGCCAGGCTGGCCTTGCAAAGAAGTTGCAAGAAGTTACCTGGGAACAAATCTGTAACTTCAAGAAAAGCCAGATGTCCAAGTTTATGCCTTTGCTAAAACTCCCTCAGTTCTCAGAAAATAAGGCTAAAAGTAGAATGGAGTTCACAACCCTCCTTGTTACCCTCGATGCATAGACAACAAGTAGGTGCATTACCTAGACACCTCCCTGGATTTTCTCCACAAATATCCTTGAAAATGAAAAAAAAGTACACTGTGGAATATTACTCAGCAATCAAAAAGATAAACCCATGGCTTTTGCACCAACCTGAATGGAGCGGAAGGGATCATGCTTAGTGCAATAAGCCAGAAAAAAAAAAAAGAAAAATACCGGATGGTTTCAACATGTTCAATCATAGCAGGAGCGTAAGGGATAAGGGGGGGGGGGAACAATTGTAATAAATTGTAATGGAAAACAACAGAGACATTTTATGGGGGTGGAAAGGGGAGGGGATCAAAACTGGGATGGGAAGAGCACCCGGGACTATGGTGATGGCACACAGGTGAACTGGTGGTGGGAAGTCCATGGGGATTAAACTGAGATGGAAAAATGTACAAAATGAAGAATGATGGAAACAAAAAAAACAGCTCTCTGAGAATAATCTGGAGGCTGTACCTAGATTCGGTCTTGATTCTTTAATAAACTCACTTGATTTTTGCTTGCCTCAGCTTATTTAAGCTAAGAGCTTCAATGTGTCTGAAGCTTTACCCAGTTTTGCTCTGGTGTGACCGACATGAAAGTTGCATGTATTTAAGTCCCATATCACGATGTTTTAGTATGTGTACATTATGAAAAACACCACGATTGGCCTCACTGAGCCATCTCTCACACACTTGCCATTTTCTCAGGCCTTTTAGCCTGTTAATAATATTGTCATACTTTCCTTGATGGGGACAATACCCTTTGAGTTTCCACCAACTATGGGTGAAACACACATCGATTTTTTTATACCCTGGTGCAAAGTTACATTTAGTTTAAATTTTTAGTCGCACTTCTCTATCATAAATTATTTCAAATATTTTTCAGACATTAAGGGACATTTATAATTCTTTTTCACAGGTTTCCATTGAGTCGTGGGTCTTTTTCTTCTCAATGTCTAAGTGTTTCTTATCATAGAAAAGTCCTTTCTCTGTGATATGATCACAAATAGAAATTTAATCATACTCTATAACATGTTCAAACAGCTCAGGGTGGCATAGCATAGAATTAGCTTCTAAATTTTTTACTAGCCACACTATGTCATCTGAAAATGTCAACTAAAGAAAATTAACATAATAATAAATTGAAACACACAAAGAATCATGTGAGTGAAGAAAACAGTATGATTAACAGTTGTATCTAAATAAGTGGTTTTGTGTGTAACCACTAATGCAAGTATTGAAAAAGTTTGCTTAAAAACAGTTGTTATAACGCAAAGATATAATAGTGATGTCAAGTATGATTCAGATATAGCAAAAGAAATCATCACTCTAGGTTGTGGGAGCAAAACAGGAATTCAGCTATTCCATAAGTGCCTTAAATTATAAGAACCTGGATCATGTCAGAAATCCTGGATGTGAGAGTCTGGGGAAGACTAAGTCATTTGACTTCCATGTTCTGCAGGAAGACATTCTGGGAGCGTCTGAGACGCACATTAATTAGGGTATTGCACGGTACCTGTCACAAGGCACACTCATTTTCCGTTCAATAGCCACGCCCCTATTTCAGCTGCCACACATTGCCTAGTATCTACCTCCCTAAAGGAAAAGTGCCCACCTGAAATGGGAGTTCAGGTGAGCAGGTCTGAGAACCAGAGAGGCAGCATCCAAGTTCTGGAGATAGAATGAAAAGAAACCAAAAATTCACCAGGGAAATGAAGAACCCTTCTTATGAGAGAAGTTAGCAACAGAGGAGGGAGCACTTGAGCTAAAAAACTTAAGGGACCTATTTTAACTCTCCACCCCGCCCATCCTAGTTGGACAGTTAGAGGTCTATGAACTCCTACTGATTTTAAGATAAAAAAAATTAGAAGTCCCACCCAGTTATAAAGTAAGGTAGTCATGGGAAGGTGATGTACAGCATTGTAACTACAGTTAAAACATCACATCGTATGTTTGAAAGTTGCTAAAAGAATAAATGATAAGAGGTCTTATAAGAAAAAAATTGTAATTATTTAGACCAGACTTAGTGCAGTAAATATTTTTCAATTTATACAAATATTAAATAATTATATTGTTCCTTCCCACCCGCCAGACTAATGTAATATCACAGGGAAGGGGATGGGCTGAGAGTGGGTAGAATCTGGACTCCAAAGCAGCTAACGGTCCACGATAGAACTATTACCTAAACTCCAGGCCCAGAAAATTAAAAGGTCTCATAGTGATAACCATAACGCCTATTTTTTAACACTCCTATGTCTGTTTTTTTTTAAATAAAGATTTACTTATGTATGCATACAGAACTAGGGTACAGGCCAGAGGTGTGGGAGGTGAGAGAATCCAAAAAGACAGAGTGGGGAGCAGAACAGGCAGATGGACGAAGTGCACTGCTGAGGGGAGCAGCGGGTGGGTCAGGAGAGGTCTGCCGCTCCCTGTGGGTCACCTCCGGGGCGGGGATCCAACTGACACTGAAGTGGCTATGGCTTGTGTCACAGTGCTGCACTTTAACCCACTGTGCCACCAGGAGGGGCCCAGCATTCCTAGGTCTTATGCCTGGAAGTGTCCCTGAAAACATTGCCCTTGAATCCCATTAAGTCTCTAGACTTAGCAGTGTATTTCAATAAATCCACGTTTTTCTGTTCAAAAGTAAAAAGAATCTTCAGCTCAAGTTCAGGCTGTTCTCTGCTTGGGATTTGGCCATTTGGCCTGAGGAGGGGGCAGGGCAGGGAAGAGACCAGTGGCGCTAACTTCGGTCAAGCACCCTCACCTGTGACAGAGGACGCACCTGCTGAATGCCAGCGGCCAGAATTACAGCAGTCAGCGAGCCATGACTCCACCCAAGGAAGGGTGCTGGGCAGAGAACAACAAAGCCGTGCCTGTGCATAGCAGAGGGAGATCCTCACGCTCGGTGACGTCCTTTCTGAAATGCCAGGGACCGAGTATCCCGCACCTGACAAACAGCCATGCCCTTCGACCCAGCATTTGTTTTGTTTTGTTGGAGGAGGGGAGAGGTTAATTCAGGTATCCTTCACCTCTACCATGTTAGTTTCAGGCGCACATATGATCTTTAATATTGCAAAATATCCCCCACAGTAAAGCTAGTTAACGTGAATCACCATTCACCACGGCAGTTTTTGTATGGCGAGAATTTTCAAGATCTACTCTCAGCAATTTTCGAATATATGATTCCGTGTTGTTACAGTCTCTGCGCTGTAACATCCTTACCAGGGCTGGTTTATTTTATAACTGGAAGTTTATAAGCTCATTGACTGACCTCGCATTTCTACTTTGAAAAAGAAAGTAAGAAAATAATCTCAATAGCCCTAAGAAAGTAGAGTTGGGAACCAAGCATATGTGAAGATCATTACCGTCGTTTTATCGGTGCGAGTAAAACCATGGAAACCCACATGCTTCACAGCAGGGACCGACCGATGGGGTCAGTACAAGGCACTTACTATACCACGTGGCCACCGGAAATTACGGTGTCGGAGGGACACAGGCTAGAAGCTACACCAAAAACTTTGTTTAATCTCAATCAAAATCTTAATTGAAAAAAACATTTCTTCTTTGAACGTCTGTAGGTTGTCACAGAAGGGTGTTGAGGGCTGAGGGGGTGAGAATTAGCCCCTGAATTCTTCCTTCTAAGCAAACTGCCCAGGGGAAGTCAGAAATCCAAAAGTGACGCCAGACCATAGAATGCGAGTACCCCTCTTTTCCTCAGAGCTTAGCAGACACGTGAGGGATTCCAGTCAAACCCAAGGATACGATGGGGGTGGCCCGGCTTCCAAGGCCCAGGAAGTCGGTGGGGGTCAGAGGGAAGCAGTAGGAGAATCTGCTATAGTTAGGAATTAACCAAATCACTAGCCCACAGTTTCACCTTGCAAAGTGGGGGAAGGAAGGATAGTCGGGTCTCCCCCAGTCCTAGTATGGAGCTGCGGTTCAGCGGGGCTCTGTTTGGGTTCTCTTAGGGCCCGGAGCCCCAACCAGACCTCTTCCACCAAATGTGGGAGCCCTCAGCACAGATGTGAAGCTAAGTTGGAGTCCCTGGTTGATGTGATCTTTGCTCAGGATTCCTTAGGTCAGGGAAGGGCTCACAGAGGCCACATTCACTGTAACCAGTGGCTGAATCAAGCCAAAATCCGGACTTCATCCATGTGGACAGTCAGCCTGGCTGTGAGCAGTTCTACCAGATGCCACTGGAGACCTCACTGAAGGAGGGGAGGGAAATCTCTTCCACCCGTGGGGGAGGAGAAACACAGGGGCCAAGGGGAGAAGCCAGGACTGGCCCACTCACAGGCCAGCTTGGGCCAGCTCTCCAGCAGGGAGCTCCGAATCTCAGCCTAAGGCTCCCTAGGCAGCGGGCAGGCAGCAAGCTTCCTTGCCACCAAAGCTGACGTCCCTGCTGAGCCGCTGGGGGAGGCTGAGCCATCTGACAGAGCCAGGAAAGGGGGTCTCTGACGCAACAACCTTCTCGCTCGATACGCAAGAGAAAAACTGACCCGAAGAGGGACAAGACCAAGTCAGGAGGACAGGTAGGACTGGATCCTCACCCCCAACACCCAGGACAGCCCCCACCCACTGCCAGGTCTTGTGTAAGCAGCCTTGCTGGGGACTCTGGGGCAGGGGGAGTGGCAGATGCGGCAGTCGCTCCACCCGCCCCTCGCCGGCCTCCCCTGACTCAGCTGCTGTCGTGTCCTTGGGTTGCAGGCGCTAATTTAGGGGCCCTGGGCCCTAATAGGTGTCCGCTGCCGAAACATGACAGGCCGGAGCCTCCTCCTCCTGGTGGCCCTCCTGGCTTTGGGGAGCCAGTTGCCTGCTGCCTCTGGCAGAAGGAAGAAAGGTGAGTGTGGGTAGCGTCCTCTGCTCCTGGACCAGGGCGCTTCTACCTCTGTGGGGAGAGAGAGGGCTGGAGGGAGGCAGTGATGAGGTGTGTCTGCGAGAGTCTGTGGCGCCTTGGCGAGCCCAGCACTGTTTGTGGCTCTTTGTGCCTGCCCACCTATGCCCACCTGCCTGCCCATGTATGCCCACCTGCCTGCCTGCCCACCTATGCCCACCTGCTGTCCACCTATGCCCACCTG